TTTTAACTTTATGCATCAAGCAAAAATTTAATTATATGCAACATTCTCTGACTGGAAGAAATTAGTTTAACATTTAAACCTATTTTCTGCACATTCCAGCACATAAAATAAAATATTTTTTGTGTTTACACTCATCTTTCAAATAGATGCAAGTAAAACACAGCAGAAAATAAATAAAGTCAAAGACTCAGCGGTCCTGTTGCTCTATTTTCACCTGTAAAGCAGGACTGCGGTAGGCGGAGGGTTACCCTGGTGCAGGTGTGCCGCGGTCAGTTGAAGAATCCGCGAGTTTCTCTGTGAGTTTCCCATTACGTCGTTGCGCACTCGGTGCTTGTTGGAAGTTTAGGGGTTTTTTCGCTGTAAAAAGAAGTTTTCTTCCCACGCACAGGACGCTAATGTTTTTGTCACTTTTTATGGAATCAAACTCAAAGTAAGGTCAGTACTTCCACGCTTTAAACGCTGCACGCTCATACTCTCTCCCACAATCGATATGTGATCCATTGTTGATCTGCACACAGCTGTTGTCACAACGCGCACTCGCTTACGTCACTGTCGCGAGACATTCTCGCAAAAAAATCACGGTTTTAGTAACGCAGTAACGCAGCGTTCCTACGGGAAAGTAACGGTAATCTAATTACTGTTTTTGCAATAGTAATCCCTTACTCATTACCTGAAAAAAGTATTGGATTACAGTAACGCGTTACTGCCCATCTCTGATCCCGAATGACCGAACTTCTCATCCGATCTCTAAGGGAGAGTCCAGCCACCCTTTGGTCGAAGCTCATATGTGCCACTTATATCCACAATCTCAGTCTTTCTGTCATGAGCCAAAGCTTGTGGCCATAGGGGAGAGTAGGAACACAGATCTCACCAGTGCCTTTACACTCAGCTATCTGTTCACCACACTGGTCCACGCTACTGAAGATGCAGCTCTAATCCATCTGTTAAGCTCTTGCTCCCTCTTACCTCACAAGACCCCAAGATAACTTAAGCTCCTCCACTTGGGGCAGCAACTCATCCCTGGCCCAGAGCGGGCACTCCACCATTTTTGGGTTGAGAACCACAGTCTTTAACTTGGAGGTGCAAATTCTCTTTCCTGGTTCTTATTTTCGCTTACCTGTAAACTGCTTCAGTGTAAGCTGGAGGCCAGTGCCTGATGAAACCAACAGAACCTCATCATCCACAAACAGCAGAGAGGTCTCTGAGTGGCCCTGAGAAATGCTGTCCATAAAATGATGAACAGAATCAGAGACAAAGGGCAGCCCTGGCAAAGTCCAGCATCCACCGGGAAAGAGTCCAACTTATTGCCGGCGATGCAGACAAAGCTCTCGCTGCAGTTTCTACAGAGACCAAATGAGAAAATATAGAATTCAGTATTTCTCCACCGGGGCTTTATTCCTGGCAGCACAGCTGAGCCTTTGAAGGAAAGTACTGCTCCAGTAATTCTGCATGTGTGAGGAAATAACTCAAACACATGGTCCACTCAGTAGCTTCTGCTTGATCTCTGAACTGCATCTCACAGCCCATTTTATCAGCGTCTCACACTTCATTTCATGGGTCAGTCACTTCTTGGAAAGTTTTCTGGCCACATTTATGTAACACTGGTGCTATTTCGAGGAAAACCGACAATGATGCAGTTATTCAGAGTTAAGTTTGGCACGTGGAGCTGACAGAATATGCATCGGCTGATATCAGCAGAAATCTTCCCAAGAGAACTGCTTCCACTTGCATAAAATCAATTGTGAATAAATAAATGCATTAAATAAAAAGGTAAGTAATTAAAAAAAAATTAAAGCCAGTATTGCTAAAATCTTTCCAACAGCCCTGAATGACAGTATTAAAATGCACCTATACTAAAACAATGTTCTTTTTAGGCCAAATAAAGAGTAGCAGAAGAAGAAGAAAGTCCCACATGCCAGACATCATTTTGTAAATGTCATTGTCATCATTTTAAAAAATGGCTGAGCTTCACAGTTACACTCGTCAAGGACGGGTCCAGGGAGGCATGAAAATGACAAGAAAACAAGTCCGACTGCAAGAAACAAGAAAACAATCCTAAATAGACTAAAGAGTGTGCAGAGGAATGAATGTGAACACAGGACGCATGGCAGAGGCCCAGAGAATAATGATGTGATGCCAGACTTCAAATAACATCTGGAGCTGGCAGAGCACCAGCAAACCAAGCATTCAGAAGGATAAATAATGAGGAGTGTGGGCAGGCAGGCACATTATCATGTTAGAGCTGATCTGAGAAACAATATAGAGAGAGGCATGAGGTTAGGGTAAAAACACCTAGAGCTGACCTGCTCCTGAAGCACCGCAGAGAAATACGTGGACAGACAAACATCTCAGCGACATGACCATTGAATCTCGACTCCCTATTCTAATAAATCAGCCTCTCAGAAACCACATGAGCAAAACTGAGGTCCAGTTCTATTTCATACAAGCAGCGCGTTCTGCACCCACAGGAAGTTTGTTCACAGCAGCTTATTATGTCTGCAAATCTGGCAGTGAAAGCAAAGATATAAGTCATAACATTAATCATGGCTTTCTTCCATAACAACGTGAGAGTTTACATGGATAACAGAAGGGACTGAAGCAACCACAGACATGTGAAAAAATGAGTACACCTTGTGATTTAGTAGCTTGTAGAACCTCATTTAGCAGCAATAACCTGACGTAATAATTTCCTGCATGCCTTTATGAGTCTCTCACATTGTTGTGCTGGGATTTTGGCCCAGTCTTTTTTACAGTGTGCTTTCGTTGTATTGACGTTTGCAGTGATTCATTCATGCACAGCTCTCTTAAGGTCCCACCACAGCAGTCTGGACCTCGACTGTGTTTGGGGTCATCGTCCTGTTGCATGACCCAGTTTCAGCCAAGCGTAGCAGTAGCAGCTCTTTAGCTGTCAGACTGATGACCTCACATTTGACTCTAGAATATTTTGGTATACAGAGGAGTTCATGGCTGACTCTGTTAGTGGGTGATGTCCAGGTCCTGTGGCTGCAAAACAAGCCCAAAACATCACCTCTCCAACATTGTGCCTACAGCTGATATGAGGTGTTTGGTTTCCTCTAAATTTAGTGGTGTGAAACAAACATCTGTACTGTCATGACTTTTATAGATAACTGAGGCCTGTTGACTCTGAGATGGAGATTTTTTTTTTACACGGTCTGACCTTCGGGTGAATTTGCTGTGACATCTACTCCTGGGAGGATTGTAGCATTGTGCGTTAATATGCCAATGCTACATTAACACAATGTCAGTTAGTGCAGGTAGTTTCATTGGTGATTCTAAATTACCCATAGGTGTGAGTGGTTGTTTTGTCTGTGTTAGCCCTGCCTTAGACTGACAAACTGTCAGGGGTGTACCCCGCCTCTTGCACTATGGTAGCTGCTTCCCCTCTCCTGGGACCCTGATAAGGATAAGCTAAAGATAATGAATGGATGGATGGATGGATGGTACAGCATATGTAAACAAAATAAAAATTGGGCTTAAAAAAAGCGTATATGACCAACAGTATCAAAGCATATATAATTAAAATTCAGGACAAGAGTTTTGTGGCACAATGGTGCAATGGTTAGCCCCCTTGCCTCGCCGCAGGACGGTATGTGGTTGAAACCTTCTGCTCGACCCAGGTCTGCCTGTGTGGACTTTGCTTGTTATCCCTGTCCCTGTGTGGGCTTCCTCTGGGCACCCCTGCTTCCTCCCACAGTCCACTTTGCTTGTTAGGTTAATAGGTGATTCTAAAGTGGCCGTAGGTGTAGACGTGATCCTGTGTGGTTGCCTGACATGTCTCTTTCCATTAACCCTGTGTCAGACTGGTGACTTACTAAAATTGTATTAGCATTTAATCAAGCTCTTTCCATTTGTTTTGTTTTTTTGCCTGATTTATTATCAATGTCAAAATAATGTAGGCTAATGCTTTGTTGTATTACAACAGGGAAAATCTGGCAACATGCCAGATGCTTTGTCAACCCCCCAATCCACATACTGAGCATATCAAGTAATAGTCCTTATAGTTAGGTAGTTATAGGTATCCAGATAGTTAGTTAGTTTCCTATGGCCACATAAAGACACAGTTATAGTTAGTTAGTGATGTGATATAAGTTCTACATTCAGTTTAAACACAGTTTTAGGTTGTCAAATGTCAGTTTAGTAAGTTAAACATGTTTTTTATTATTATTTTATTGCTTCACATATGTAAAATATTACATCATTCATTAGATACAGAAGAAGGTAAATGTTGTTCAAAGTCACACATAAAGAACCAGAACCAAATGTTCACCTGTTTCAGAAAACTTCTGGAGCTTTTTGGCCATGTCGGCGACATAAAGCGCGGACTCTGGCGCCACCTGGCGGCCATTAGCAGAACCACACACCTTCACCTGTAAGAAGAAAAAAAAGAAAAAAAGATTGATGCAGCAGTCCAGAAATAGCTCTCACAAAAAAGCGCACAGTGCGTCAAAGTCCAGTTCCGGTTATGTGACGCTTCTCACAGCTTCTCCCATGGTCACACACACGCAGTTTTATAAAGAGCGGTGTTATTTCTGATCGTTTAGTCTCTGTGGGAAAATGCAAATTGTTTCAATTAGCATTTTCAGGACCTTTGTGCGCTTTCTCTTCCACCTGAACAGCGCGTTATATACTCAAGGGCTTCATTAGGGGAACAGAAGTGGGACGATTCGCTGCCTTTCTGCAGTAAAAACTCTGTTTATAATATTTCTACGCTATTTTCTTGGTTATATCACAGATTTAAAAACGTGCCTTGTGTCCCCTAAAACACAAATGATTTCGTCTTTTATAGTTTGCACTGGTGCTGTCTCCTTCTTGGAGTCCATCAACCTCATGAGAACATTACAAAAGGCTTAAAGTTTTGTGAGGCTCCTGCATTATTACACGGGAAACGCCCTCTATTAAATATCGTGTCCACTATGTCAAAAAAAAAAAAAAAAGGGAAAAAAAGTGGATTTACAAGCAGAATATTTTCCCTGGCATGGTGTGATTTGGATTGGTGTGAGTGAGTGAGTGTCAGAGTCAGGGAGGCGGGAGGGGGGCACACAGTGTGTCTCTGCTGTGACTGTGTATCACTTCAGATGCTCAGACAGAATTAAAAATGCGCTCCTCCGCCTTGTCGCCGGTGTTGTGCGCATTTTCTTGACAAGCCCGTGTTCCCACAGCATGGTGCTCGGACTCGGAGGCTCGGCACCCTCTTCGTACATAACCATCAAACTCTCGCGGACGCTTAATTAAGACAGCAGACTGCGCACAGCGCCCCGCAGCACCTGTTCCCACCTTCAGATAGAAGGTAAGTTTGTTTTTGTTTTTTTTGGAATCGAAATTTGCGTTAAAAAGAAAAAAGAAAAAGGGAGACAGGTGTGACTGGCTGTGAAGATGCATAAAAATAAATAAATAAAAATAAGCCTGCGCGAAGTTGGAAAAAAAAGGAAGAGGTAGTTCCTGGAGAGTTGGCACATGCAGCACAGCTCCAGGCTCCAGTAGCTGTATTAATATTTTCTCCTCCCTTTTGAAGGTCCCCTTTCTCTTCTCAAGTTCAAAGCGCGTCGGCGTTTGTTGTTTAACGTAGTTTCCGGTCAGCAGGGGACGTCTCGGTAAACAATGCAGCTCGGTGATTCACGCGTGTGCGTCCCCTCGACATTAAAGTTTGTGCCAATTAATCAATTAGCGATTAGGACGGTCGGAAAGCGTTGGTGCAGGGGGGCGGGTGGGAGTGAGGCTGACGCACGACCCAAAGCTCAAAGTGGAGGTTTCATGAAATTAATATGGATGTTTTTTACATGATAATAACAGTTTGGGTGTAGGTGTTCATTATTCTCAGCCACAGGTCTGCACTGTGTACTTGGGCTGTTCCTCCTTCAACTTTACTGATGGTTTTTCCTTCTGTCTCTCAGTGGTTGTGCTGCAGATTTGTCTGTGTACAGCCTGAAGATTTCAAATTACCATATTACCTCAGACAAGCAGAAGTTCAGGGCGTTTTTTCCCCCAGATTTCCTCCAGCACCTAATCAAACCAGCCACCCACGAGAAGTAATGCAAATTTTCATCTCTGCAGGTTTTGGAGGTGAACTAATGACCATCCATCCACCCATCCATCCGCCTGGCTTTCTTTTCTTTTCTTTCTTTTTTTTGGTTGAACTGCACCTTCACGAGGCATGCCAGTGTTCAATTAGCCACTCAGACTTTTATTTTTGAAGTATCTTGATCTCCTGTCTCCCCTCAGAGGGCAAAGTGAATGTAATCTCACACCAATGGACTGTTACATAACTTTAAAACTGAAGTGCCATCCTGCCTGCGTAGGAGTAGATGTGATGTTCCCACTTCCTCGCTGTTGTTTTGCTCGTTAATTCTGAGAGGCGCATTACTGTAAGTGGCGTTTTGTGACTTTACATGACTGCTGTTTTTTTTTTTAAATATAGTTTTTATTTATTTATTTTTTTAAGACCCCCCACCCTTCTTTTAAATGCAGATGCAGATGAGGCCACGAGCATTACTGATTGCTTTGCGAGTCGTTGCTGTGATTATGCCGTCCTACCTACAAGAAGTCTGTGATTGCTGAATGGTGGACTGACATGTTGATTTTGACCAAATGTGTGCGTATATATTTATGTGTGTGTAGGGGGAGGGGGGCTGCTTTCTGCCCTGTGTTGTGTAGGAGGAGTGCGATCGCAGAGTGCCCAGGCATGACGCTCAGAGCTGTTGGACAGAGTTCAGTCCTTTGCTGAGCAGCCTGTCCTCTGTGCTGGAAACAGTGCGCAGACAGACACATTACAGTAACCTGACTCATGTACATGGCAGGCTTCCCCTCTTCACTGCTAAGAAATTGTGGCATCACCTTGAAACACAAGAGAGAAAAAACAGAAAAAAAAGTGCTCACTCCTGAAGCAAACGTCCACCATTTTGAAAAGTCTGGCAGATATATAAGGATTGCTGGCACAGGAGACAGTTTCTCCGCTGAGAGCAGTTTCTTACTCTTCAGTTAGAGGCTATTTTGGGCACCGAATCAAAACTTTATTAAAGATGTAATTAGTTTTTTGTTTTTTTTAGATAACAACCATTTCCCATCAGTGTGTCCCAGCAGTATAATCAAGTTAAGCTGCACTAACTTAGGATGTAAGACGCTCGCTTTCCAATGCGAACGCCTTCTCCAGTCAGCTTAAGTCAGATTAATTTAAATGCACAGTAGGGCAGGGCAGCACTTTACAGGAAAACAAATTGTCAGTAGCACCCAATGCTTCATACAATGTGATACGAGTAAAAAAAATTGCATTTTTTGTAAGTATATGCAAAATGGGGAAAATACATACTCCTTCTTATCCAACCGTCGTGACGGTGCTGCTGGAGCTGTTGTTTTTATTGGAGAGGTGAGGTATCACCATGAATAGGTCGCCACCCCAACACCCTCAGGTCTTAACAGAGAGAACTTAAAGCACAATCATTTTTGTATGGAAACAGCAGATGTTTATGATAATATCTCCCTGGTATGGTTGCTGGTATAGCTCTCTGTTTATAGCTTCATATTAACCACAATAACAATAAACAGACACACAAACAAAAACACAGCTTCCAATCTCTTCTTAATAATTAGTGCCAATCATTTCTAGAAAAAACATCTTTTTTTTGCATCCATAAGCTCGAAGTTTCAACGGATCTTCTCAGAGACTTGAGTCCCAATTTCCAGGTATTATCTCAAAACTTTGACTTGCTAACGCAAAACGTCTGAGTAAAAAACTTGAAATGAGATAATAACCTAAATTATGACTTACAGATCCCAAAAAGTGTTTTAGTTTGTCAGCGGCAGAAACAAACTTCAAGTGAGAGTGGTCTACCGGTGGTCGAAACACGTCTTTAATGATGTCATTGATCTTTATCAATGACATCATAAGGGTAGAGGGGAGGTCCCCAGATGTCGTCTTTATCAGTTAAGAATGATTGCTGCATTCGTAACGTTATGGTAAAGCTTTGCCTGCATCGAAAGAGGCAGCAGAAAATAACACACCTACATAACCACTTGAAAGAAACCATCACAGAAGTGATCACTTTTGTCGTACTGCACACGTGCACTCCTCTAACTCGCAAGCTAATATGTAGTATTAACAAGTAAAAGGTCACGGACACGTCACAAATTACAGAGTGCCTTTTGTATGATAAAAGATATATCCCCAAATTACCACCTCTATTGGTTTTAATGTTGAAATTAATCAGTTCCAACTCAACAAGTTATTGACAGATGGAGCTCTGAAAAACAACACTCTGCGTTCGAAGTACAAATACTCCAAAATCGATAAGACATGATGTGATCAGAAGCTCTGCACTGCCTCATATTCATTACCTCCTGGTTAAGACCACAGATCCACCCTGTCTCCTCACTGTTAGGGTACCGCATGCACCACAGCACTGACGGAGTGGATGTAAAACAGCAGGATTTGGAGGATATCGTTTAGTTACTGTTTCATGCAGTGTAATTAAATTAGGAAGTGTGTTGTTATAGTCCTAATATAGGTGTGTTTCTTAGGCAACCTAACAGCTTTTTCCCTCAGGTTTGAGCACGTCTGGTGGATAAATGCTCCAAGGTAGATGTTCAAGACGAGAGGTTTACGGCTTACGTACACTGACTCAACAAAACATCACAAAGTAAAAGATTTGAATTTGGTTTACGGATTAAAGACGGCGAGTTTGCTAAATCTGACTCCTTAAATATCTCAAAAAACAAATAGTTGACTGTTTCATTTTTACGTTTATTGTGACAGCACTTTAAAAAAAATCAGTAGGGGTTGTTTAATAGAGCAGAACTTGAAAACCAACAGATCTGGTTTGTCGTCCTCCTCCCCTGGCTTCTTCAGAGAGATTACAGTATTAATGCAGGCTTTTGTCCTCTTGTGGTCACTCTAACACAATCTGAAAATGAAAGATGAAAGTGATCCCTCTTTGTCGTTGTCAAGTCCGCGCTTGTGAGATTAAATCCACGGTAGATATCGCAGGAAAGCCGGGGAATTTAAATACTAACCAAATGTATGGACGCACATACACGCACTAAAGTCTTATCAGCAAACTAATAGTTTAGGAAACATTTTTAGTCCTAACTCTAACATGATCGTCTAGTTTGAGGTTTCTTTGGAGGAAAGTGTTTGATAGAATAAAACTAAACTTTAAAGTTCCTAATCAAAGTCTTAAAAAGCTGCTAAAACTGATATTAGCACAAAGTCTACGAGATGCTATATCTACTCAATCAATATCTTCTCCAAAGACCCCTGACAAAACGCAACTTTTAGAGATATTATTCACTCCCGCTTATGGAAAAACCTCTGACATTACCTAACAGTCCTTTACAAAAATACCATTTTGTATGAAGAGCTCCTCATGCGTCATTAGTTACACTGTGAATCACGCAGTCATGCAGAGGTCAAGCAACACCAGAAAAAAGGAGGAACTGCGATGCTGAAAAGACTTTTGTTAAGGGTATGGATCCTATTGTTTCCAAGCACATTTTGGATCACAGCTTTAACTGCAGTCGGGATAAAGAGAGATTAAGAAGGAGAGGAGAGGTGTTTCGCCTTGTTTTTGCTGAAAGCGGTGTGAGAAAATCTGGCAGTCGCGTGGTGAGATTCCAGTTGTTATGTGTTTTTGAGAAGTGACAACGGCAAAGTGACAGCATCTTGAAGAAAGTTGGTTTCCAGTTTTTGTGGGAGACAAGTGAATGTGGCCGGGCTGTTATCCTGGCAACTTTTCCAGCTCTTATTATGAGGAAAATGCAAGATTCAGTGACCTGTTCAGATGGACAACTTTGGCACTCCAAATCGAGTACAGGCTTTCCAGATAAGCTCCAAAACACGGTGGGAAAAAGACACAGTAAATAAGATTTGCAGTAAATTAAAACCTCAGTCAAAACTTTATCCACTGATTATTTGTATATAAATAATAATAGTCACTGCTCACAAATAGTCCACATTTTTAGACTTTCTCAAAGCTGATGACGACCACTTACTTTGTTTTGTTGTGGGACCACAGACTGTATTTAAAAATAGATGAGGCCACTGTGACGCCACCTACTGCCTTGTGAAGAAAAATACGTTTTCTGGGGGACTAGAAGCTAACATTCTGAAGACAGAATTTTATTTTTTTTACTTTTTTTTTACATTTTACAAAAATTCTGACAGTTTTGAGACATATTTGCAGACACTGAAGTTAAGATAGCAAAAATATTGGAAACAGAAATATTGGAATGTCTCCTTGTTCGTGATTTTTTTTCTTTTGTGTTTTGTTTGTTTTTGTGCACAGCCAGGATTGTTGG